CCCAACCGGTCGTAAGTCGAGGACTTTCCCTGCCCGGGAGCGCCGTGCATGCGTGGTTCCGCCCCCTGCGCCGGCCGAGGCGTAGCTGGCAAGCGGCAAGCGGCAGAGCAGGCTGACCACCAGCTGGCCCAGCTCAAGGGAGGTAAGGCACCTGCCGGAAAAGGGGGAAAAAAATGGCGGATAGCCTTGCTTGGCGACCCCCGTGAAATGGTCGATCGACCCCAAATGGGGTCACGACCCATAGGTTGAGAACCGCTGGAATAGGGATTAAGGTTTAGGGTGGGGTTGGAATCAGGATTGGTGTTGGGGGGGTGGGTTGGGGTCGACATTGGGGTTATCCCCCAATAGCATTTCCAATCTTTAGCAAACAGACTATTGTCTGGGTACGTATGTTCAGTTAACAATAGTTGATATTGTAATAAGTGTAATAAACGCTAATCATAAACAGTATCAATTAATTAATGCATATCATTCTTCTTGTTAGTATATATTCAAAATAACATATCACAGTGATGGCGAACCTTTTAGAGACCAAGTGCCCAAACCGCAACCCAAAACCCATTTATTTATCGCAAAGTGCCAGGGCTGCATCAGCATTGTGGTGCCCTCGGGGGGGGGGGGGTCAGGGAGGCGCCTCTGAGTGCCGCCTCTGGCACGCAAAAACTGGGGGCGCAAAAATAGGCCACCATGCTGCAAGGCGCAAAAACGGCCACCGCCGCACTGCGGGGTGCAGATACAAGGCGCTGCATCGCGCAAGAACGGGGCAGGGCTAGTGAGTATCACGCAGGCACTAGCCCCGCCCCATTTGCAGTGCAAAATGCTTCCCCCTCCCTTTTCTTCCAGTCCAAGAACGGTTGGTGAGCTCTGCTCTACCACCTCTACTCGAGCTTGCTAGTTGGCCGCTTCGCCTCCTTTGTGCTGGGTGGGGCTCCTGCTCCGGGCGGCAGTGGCGTCCTGATGGATCTGCTGCTGGCGGTGGTGCACGCACCAACAGAGAGGGCTCTGAGTGCCACCTCTGGCACGCGTGCCATAGGTTCGCCACCATTGACATATCACATTCATTTCTCACTAGAAGACCTCCAAGGTCCTTTCCAAATAGAATAGAATAGAGCTGGAAGGGACCTTGGAGATCTTCTAGTCCAGCCCCCTGATTGAGCAGGAGAACCTATACCATTTCAGACAAGTAACTGTCTAGTCTCTTAAAAACCTCCAGTGATGGAGCGCCCTCGATTTCTGAAGGGAAGGTGTTCCACTAGTTAATTGTCCTCACTGTTAAGAACTTTCTCCTTAATTCCAGGTTCCTTCTCTCTTTGATCAGTTTCCAACCATTGTTTCTTGTCTTCTCTGGTGCTTTGGAGAATAATTTGACCCCCTCTTCTCTGTTATAGCCTCTCAAATACTGGAATACTGCTATCATGTCAGCCATATTTCTTTTTTTTAGACTAGCCAAACCCACGTCCTGCAGCCATTCTTCATATGTTTTAGTCTCCAGGCCTTTGGTCATTTTAGTTGCTCTTCTCTGAAGAACTTTTTCCAAGGTCTCAACATCTTTTTTGTAGTATGGTGACCAAAATTGGTTGCAGTATTCCAGGTGTGGTCTAAAGCGGCACTAATACTTCGCGTTATCTTGATTCTGTGCCTCTGTTTATATAACCCAGGAGTGTATTAACTTTTTTGGCTGCTGCTGCACACTGCTGGTGATCGTTCACTAGGACTCCAAGATCCCTCTTTCAGTTGCTGTTTTTGAGCGAGGTCTCGCCTAATGTGTACTTAAACCTTTGATTTTTTTCTGCCTAAATGTAAAACTGCTTTTCTCCACATTGAAACTCATTTTGTTGGAAAGGGCCCGTTGTTCGAGTTTGTCAAGATCTTTTTGGATCCTGAGCTTGTCTTCTGGGGTGTTGACTATTCCTGCCAGTTTAGTGTCATCTGCAAATTTGATGAGTTCCCCTTCAATTCCCTCATCTAAGTCATTGATGAAGATATTGAAGAGTACTGGTCTAAGATGGAGCCTTGTGGTACCCCACTGCTTACTTCTCTCCATGTGGATGTAATACCATTGAGGACTACTCGCTGAGTACGGTTTGTCAGCCAGCTACAGATCCATCTGATGGTGTTGTTGTCTATCCCACCTTTTTCTAGCTTGTTAAGCAGCAGGTTGTGGTCTACTTTGTCAAATGCCTTACTGAAGTCAAAGTATACTATGTCCACAGCGTTTTGCTGGTCTACTAGTTTAGTCACTTTATCGAAGAATGAAATAAGATTGGTTTGGCATGATCTGTTTTTGACAAACTCCTGCTGGCTACTGGTTATAACTTTGTTAGCTTCTAGTTCAGTGATGGCGAACCTTTTAGAGACCGAGTGCCCAAACTGCAACCCAAAACCCACTTATGCATTGTCGGGTGCCGGGTGGGTGTGGCCCATTGGGTGGGTGTGGCCCATTGGGTGGGCGTGGCTGCGGTGGTAACAGCAGACTGGGTGGGACTAAAAAGTTCAATCAATCCCAACTTTGCAAGATCTTTTTTTTTCCCCGCGAGAAGTTGAAATTGACTGATTGATTGAACCTTTTTTTTTTTGTACACGGCAGCAGAGGCCTAAAGAGAAAAGGTTTTTATAAAACCCAGCTGAAGGCCTAGGACTGGGGCGACGGCACGCGTGCCCACAGAGAGGGCTCTGAGTGCCGCCTCTGGCACCCGTGCCATAGGTTCGCCACCACTGTTCTAGTTGTTCGCAGATCTGTTTTTCGATTATCTTTTCCAGGATTTTCCCAGGTATTGATGTTAAACTGATTGGTCTGTAGTTTCCTGGGTCCGTTTCCCCCCCCCTTTCTTGAAGATGGGAACAACATCCGGCCCTTTTCCAATCCTCAGGTACTTCTCCCATGCTCCAGGATTTTTTAAAGATGTGGTGCAATGGTTCTGAGATAACATCTGCTAGCTCCTTCAGAACTCTGGGATGTAATCTGTCGGGTCCCGATGATTTATATTCATCAAGGTTGGATAGGTGATCTCTTGCCATTTTCTTGCTTATTTTAATTTTTGTTTCTAGTTTGTCTTCTTCATAGTAGTAGTAGTAGTAGTAGTAGTAGTAGTAGTAGTAGTAGTTATTCACCCAATTGATCAATCCAGCCCTCTCTTTCCCAGTGAATTGTTTAGGGACCTGCCAAGAAAGGCTCAGAAACGACAGAGTTAAACAGAGAAGTCAAGAAGGACCTTGGACACCAACCCCTCCCCACCCCAGTGCGGGAGAATTTCTGCAAAACAAATTACAGTGTGGAGATACTGTGTCACTTCTGATAAGCCGCAAGGCGAAATTCTAGAATTGCATCCATCAGCATCAAAAACCGCAAAGAAATAAAATAGTAAACCCAGCGGAATGAAGGGCAAAAATCAACAATGCAGCTAAGCCTTAGCTGCTAAGGATTCCCATTGCTCTCCTGATGTGTCTTAGCTCTTCTACAGGTAGCCCTTGATTTGCAGTAGTTCGTCCGTTCGAAGTTACAACAGCACTGAAAAAAGTGACTTACAACCGTTTTTCACACTTACGGCTGTTGCAGCCTCCCAGGGGTCATGTGATCAAAGTTGAGAGACTTGGCCACTGGCTCATATTTATGACAGTTGCAGTTTCTGGGATCACGTGATCTCCTTTTGTGGCCTTCTGACGAGGAAAGTCAATGGGAACGTCAAATTCACTTTACGGCTGTGTTATTAACTAAACAATTGCAGTGATTCGCTTAACAACTCTGCCAAGAAAGGTAAAACGGGGCAAAACAACAAGTGTCTTGCTTAGCAACAACTCCATTGTGGTTATAAATTGAGGACTACCTATACCAGGGGTAAGCAACCTTGGCTCTTTTATGACACATGGACTTCAACTCCCAGAATCCCTGAGCCAGCATGGCTCAGCTTGGAAACCTCTCCCTGTCCTCTCAGTATGGCTGGCTCAGGAATTCTGGGAGTTGAAGTCCATGAGTCATAAAAGAGCCAAGGTTGCCTACCCCTGACATATACTGTAAGTATAATGGGTGCAAACACCTCTTTCTTTTCCAGATGGTTATGGAGATTCTCAGTCATTCAGGCCGTGGTTGTCCCAAAGGTACTTTTTCCCCCCCAAAAGACAACTGGGCTTTGTTTTTCCTTGAAGACATTTCTTGGATGAGAAGCTAAATGTCTTTAAAAAAAAAACCAAAGTCCAGTTGCCTTTTGGGGAAAAAAAGCATCTTTGGGGACTTTTCGAGATGGGCAACATTACCATCTGCCACTGCCCGGCCAGTATGCCCAATGGCGAGGGATGTGTTAGTGCAGGGATAGGCAACCTCAGCTCTTTTATGACTCGTGGACTTCAACTCCCAGCATTCCTGAGCCAGCCATGCTGAGGGGAAAGGGAGAGGTTTCCAAGCTGAGCCATGCTGGCTCAGGAATTCTGGGAGTTGAAGTCCACGAGTCATAAAAGAGCCAAGGTTGCCTACCCCTGTGTTAGTTGAATCTCAGTGATCCCTGACTTGCAACAGGAAGGCCCATTCGTTGCACAGCGTCCATGTTTATTTGGGGGGGGGAGAAGAGGGCCTGAAAAAGAAGAAAAACAAAAAAGAACACCCAATCTTCCTTTAGGACGTAGATTTCGTCCTTCGGCGGCTACGCAAAACATGTTCCCTTCCTTAGATTAGAAGACCACCAAGGTCCCTTCCAGCTCTTGTTATTCTTTCTTGCGGGCCAAGTCAAGGAGAAAAGGGACATTCTCAAACCATCAATCTGTCCCCGTTTCAAGGATGGGGGCCTGAGCTGGCCTTCATGTTGACAGTTGCACGTGGTCAGTGGGAGGGAAGCATTTTTTTCTTAGATAGATCTGGGTGGCGCCCTGCCCTGCAGCTCTGGAGAAGTGGAATAAGGGAGGCTGGTGAGTGGTTTTGATGTGGGGCAGAGTCTCATCTCCTCCTCCCTACCCCACAATTGAATAGACTTGCCCTCCAATGCAAGGAGCCTCACCTGGCTGATTTAACAATGCTCTGGGCTGGATTCTTGGTCTTGGTCTTCCTGGTTGTGGCCCTCCTGAGGTGGCTTCAGGGAGGGCTGAGCTGGAGGAAGCAACCGTGGGAGCTTCCAGGCCCCCCATCTTGGCCCTTAGTGGGCAATCTCCACCACCTGTTGCATGCCGACCTGCCAGTCCACTTCCTCCAGTTAGCCCAGCATTATGGACCCATCTACCGCCTCCAATGTGGGAAGAAAGGTACTTCTTGAATGTTTTTTGGGGGGCAGAGCTGTGTTTGGGGGTGTTGGGGGTAAACAGGGAGCCATTGGGGGGAAATTCAGCTAAAGCCTACCTATTTGTGGAATTTTTAGTCTTCCAAAAAATAGTGGCATCGCGTTCCCGAGGCTGTTTTTTTTTTTTTTTTGCTGCTGCTTGGGCTTCCGTGCTTGTTTCCCAAACTTTCTTGCTTCTTTTCCCAAGTTGGATTTTTAAAAATCTTTGCAGCATGTTATTTTAGAACGGGGCTTTAAACTGGAAAGCAAGACGATTTCCAGATTATTTTCCCTTGTTGATGGCTTATAGGCGTTTTATAAAAAAGAATTTTCCAGATGGGTGGAACTTTTTTTATTTATGTTTATGTATTAAATTTGTCTCACTATCCAAAGTGACTCTGGATGGCTTACAGATGATAATAATAAAGTTGGAAGGGACCTTGGAGGTCATCTAGTCCAACCCCCTGCTCAGGCAGGAAACCCTATACCATTTCAGACAAATGGCTGTCCAGTCTCTTCTTAAAAACTTCCAGTGTTGGCAGGTTGTTCCTCAGCTTTAGAAGCTATCGTTAGAGCTTAGAAGATAGAAGTTAAAGATAAAAGTTATCTTTAGAAGATAAGATAGGGAAAACACGCTGACAAAATTTAGGGTGTATGAAAGCATGCTAGGGGGTGTAAGAAAGAAATATGTATTAGACATTGCTTAATGAAATATAATCTTAATAATCCTAGCTAAGATTTAAGGAGTGAGTTTAACAATGATAAAATGGAGTAACTTAAGCTTTTAAAAATAGGAGTTTTGACACACGCAAAATAGTTGCTGTGATATTAGACAGAAAAATAGGTCATCGGAAACCAGACATAACTGCAAGCAGAGGAAACACAAAAACAAAGATAGAGCTTATGCCAGCTACAGGTCATGGTTAACAGATACAGCAAATGCAAGAGGCTTTTTCCTGGGGGGGGGGGGAAATGAACAAAAATTTATTCTGTTTAGGCACCTCAGATTAGCTGATCGGGATTAGCAGGTGGGCTTGAGTGCGATAGTGGGGGGAGAAACTAGCATCATGAAAAAATATAAATACGTGCTTTTAAAAATTATAGAAGTGGCTTGGTCTCCTGCGAGAGTTTAAGACCACCAACTTTTGCAAAAGTTATAATCTCACTAAAACTCTACTCCTGGAATCCCAAGTGAGTTTGTTTGTCTTTGGAAACCTGAGCCACGTTCCAAACAGGGGGAAATTGTGGGGAAGCAGATTTCACCTAAACATGGAGAAGACACTTCCTAAAAATGTAAGAATGACTAACTAGTTCCTTTACTGGAGCTATTTAGAGCAGGGGTCCCCAACTCTCCGTCCGTGGCATGCCAGAAACCGGACTGCATAAAACCACCGAAGCCCCATCTGTGCGATGCAGGCAGCATGCGAAATTATGCACTCTCTGGTCAGCAGAAAAACCTCTGTCCACGGAACTGGACCCTGGTGCCCAAAAGATTGGGGGGCCGCTGGTTTAGAAAATGCAGAATCCATGTCCTGAGCTGGCTTGTTTTATAGTGCAATAGCTCTTAACTCGATGGGAGCAGGAAGGCCTCTTTGATGCTGTGTTTTCAGCCAAAAGCAGTACTTTTGATTAAAGTTACTAATTCTTTAAAGTAATGAAGCAAATTCTCCATGAGCAATGTGGATTCTGTTAAGAACCAGTTCTGTACATAGATTTGAATTTTAATAACTTGCAAATTCACTGTCCTTCCTTCCTTCCTTCCTTCCTTCCTCCCTCCCTCCCTCCCTCTTTCTTTCTTTCTTTCTTTCTTTCTTTCTTTCTTTCTTTCTTTCTTTCTTTCTTTCTTTCTTTCTTTCTTTCTTTCTTTCTTTCTTTCTTTCTTTCTTTCTTTCCTAATTAATGTTTGGGGTTTTTGAGGACTAGCTTTGAAAAGATACTGTTTTTTTAAACTGCTTTTTCTTCTTTTTCTGTCTTTCCCTTGCTGAGTTGTGGTTGTGCTGAACAGCTCCGAATTAATTCGGGAGGCTTTGATGCGAAAATGGTCTGACTTCGCTGGACGGCCTGAAAGCTTTCTGGGTAATGATTCCCCGGATTGTTTGTAATTCTGGTAATGAACTTAGATCAAATCGTGGCTTGAGAGCCATTTTGTTAGCCAGCTCCAGCGAGAGAGAGGACCGCGCATTGCAGAGAAATAGGATTTGTTTGACTGTGAAAAAAACTTGCACTTTGCTGGGTTCATCTAAGCCAGGGGTAGGCAACCTTGGCTCTTTTATGACTCGTGGACTTCAACTCCCAGAATTCCTGAGCCAGCCATGCTGAGGGGAAAGGGAGAGGTTTCCAAGCTGAGCCATGCTGGCTTAGGAATTCTGGGAGTTGAAGTCCACGAGTCATAAAAGAGCCAAGGTTGCCTACCCCTGATCTAAGCCATAAACTATGCTTACAAGCCACCATGGATGGATTCCCACCACATAGGTTGTCCTCCACTTACAGCAGTAATTGAAGCCCGAATTATGGTCGCATGTCACGGCAGTCATTAAATGGCTCATCATGTGACCCTGCCCAATTTTACCACTTTGTTTTCAACGGTTGTTAAGTCAACCCTTTTTCTTCAATAGGTGTTTTTTTTTGCTGGAAACTGGAAGTAAACACCAGAAGCTGGCAAAAAATATAAATAAATCGTAGTCTCGTAACTGTGGGATGCCATAAATAGCCATAAATGCCAGTTTGGTTTAGTGGTTAAGGTACCAAGCTAGAAAGCAGGGGATGGTGAGTTCGAGTCCTGCCTCAGCCATGAAAGCCAGCTGGGCAACTTGGGCCAGGCATGCTATCTCAATGCAGCCCACCCCACAGGGTCGTTGTTGCAGAGAAAAAGGAGGAGGAAGGTGTATTGGATATGTTCGCTGCCTGAGTTATTTATAAAATAAATAAAAAAATAAAAGTGAGATACAAATAAATAATAAATAAATGTGAGCCGGTTGCCAAGTGCCCAAAATATGATCACATGACTGTGGGCTGTATATAGGTGTGGCTGTCGGAACTCCAGACCAAGGTTATAAATAGCTTTGGGGAGGTCTGTTGTAACTGAACAGCCACTAAGCGATCGGTTGTTAAGTGAGGACTACCTGTACAGGTCAGGATCACCCAACTTCCCAGCCCCAACCGTGGGGGAAGCTTGAAAGTTTTCTAAAAGGCTGACAAAGGTTAACAAGATTGGAACATCCAATCTTGTAAGACTGAAACATCCAATCTGGTAGAAAGGAAAAGGTAAAGATTTCCCCTGTCCAGTCATGTCCAACTTTACAGGGCACTGCTCTTCTCCGTTTCTTAGCTGAGGGAGTGAGCAGCGTCCAAAGACACTTTGGTGCTCATGTGACCAGCATGACTATATGCCAAGGCACACAGAATGCTGTTATCTTCCCACTAAAGTGGTATCTATTTATGTACTCACATCTGCATGCTTTTGAACTGTTCACTTGGTAGGAGCTGGAGCAAGTAACAGGAACTCAAGCAGTCATATAATACTTGGTCTCGAACTGCCCACGGTCATGGTTCCGATAGATGAGACCAGTAGAAATAAGAACTCTGAGGCAATTGCTTTCCTCAAAGAATACTTTTAATGGCTACATAATATCAGCACAAACATAGGTGAAACCAAGACTGGAAGTCCCCTCCCTCAAAAGATTACAAAGTAAAAGTTAAACTTCCCACCCACTATATGTGTCATAAATCACAATCTCCAATTAACACCTTTGGTGGGCTCTCTAACGGTAGTTCTAGCCCACCAAATTATCAAGCAATTTGACCTTGGTTCCCACAAGAAAGTTATTGTTATGACTGAACTAGAAGAATGCCCCTTCCCTCCCCCCGTGGAAAGGCTGTGGAAAGCCAAAAAATGAAGAAAAATGGCTGTAGCCAGAGTAGTTTTGTAGATTTGACACCAACCTTCCAGTCGACAAGCCCAGTGTCTTAACTACTAGGCCACCACACCTCCACTCCATCCAGTCTTGGGAAGAACATGCTATTCTTACCCCTGTCGCTTGAGGGTACCCAATCAATATCAGCAGAACAGGATTTTTCCAAGCTTTGGGCATCTGTTTCCTTCTGTAGGCAGAGGGTAGATTTTTGCCATTTCTCTACATCCTTTTCCTTGAGGGCTAGTTCTAACCTCTTCTTCCTACCTCTCTTCTCCAGCCCACTTGATTTCCAAGGGAGGCAAAGACCTCTCGCTGGGGAACTACACACCAACGTGGCGCTTGCAACGCAAACTCGCCCACATGGCCTTCCAGCGCAGCCTGCGAGGAGACATGGAGAAGATTGTGCAGGACCAGGCTCAACACCTCTCCAAGGTGACCTTGAAAAGGAGGGGAAGTCCAGGCATCTGGACTGAAAGTTGCTGAAGCTGAAGATGCTGATGTAGAATCTACTTTTTAATGTTTTAAAAAATGGGGAAAGGGGGTAAAAAACTCCCCATTCATTCTCATTTTTTGCATGTAATGTACGTGTAGTGGCCATACATCCTTTATTATGCAGGCAGTCCTAGCTTAACTACCAATTGTATTACAACATTTAAATTATGATGACCACAGAATGGGTGCTTTATGGCCTACAACCCCCCCCCCCCCGCTGCTGTAAATAATCTCATTGTCCCCTTCACTTATGTTACTCCACGTTAGCTGGATCAGCTTTATTATTTGTTGTGGCACTCTGTCATCTTAGATCTGCAACTCTGGGTGGCTCCCAAGAGTTATACAAAACAAAATCAAGGAGAGAAGCAACCTAGAACTAAGGAGAACAATTAACCAGTGGAACAACCTGCCTCCAGAAGTGGTGGATGCTCCAACATTGGGAGTTTTTAAGAAGAGACTGGACAGCCATTTGTCTAAAATGGTGTAGGGTTTTCCTGCCTGAGCAGAGGGTTGGACTAGAAGACCTCCAAGGTCCCTTACAACTCTGTTCTTCTATTCTACGTTTTATATTCCAAAAGGTCACATACAAAATAAAAATAACAAAGCAATAAAAACAGAAACAAAACAACCAATCTCCCTTGATGCAACCAGCAGCGTGACCTTCTGACTTTATCCTGTCCCACCCTTGAGGGAAGATGCAACGATTTATGCTTTTCTGAAAAGAGTGTCAGCCTACTGGATGACATTGACAGTGGTAGAAATAGGTGTGTTTGTGCATGTGTGTGATCTAAGGCAGAGTTCCTCAATGTTTCTGACTTTGCAGATTGTTGGGGGTGGGGAGAGGGGAGGCTTCCGTGCGAGCGGTTGCCAAGCCTGTGTGAGTGCAGCTCCATTTGCATGAGCAGCGTGCATGCGCGCCTCCTGCTCACTTAAATCGAGCGCATGCACACGTACTCACCCTCACAAGTGAGCCTGTGTATGTGTGTGTGTGTGTGTGTGTGTGTGTGTGTGTGTGTGCCGCTCGCCAGCCATCTCCACCGCCCGGTTGCAAACCCCTAATGGCCCTTTAGTGAACCATGGCCCACAGGTTGGGGACCCCTAATCTAAGGCATATGTCATTGTTCCGACAGATGAAACTCTTCAAAGAACTTCGAGGCATTGTTTACCTTAAAGAATCTTTATTCGAGTAGCAACACATTGGCATGTACATAGTCCAAGCCAAAATCTGACTTCCCCTCCCCTGAGCACATAGTATCAAAGCACAATTCCCTCTTCTAAATAACAGTCATAAATCACATTCTCCAATTAGTTTGAAATGCAGGCTTTCCCATCAGTTCTTCAACCCGCCATGTCTTATCATCTCTTATTACAAACAGCCTTGGTTCTCACCATTACACAGTATTGTTTTGTCTAACTAATCTCCCATGCACATTCTTCCTCCCCCCACCCAGTATCATCTAATTATAACTCTAAGAGTAAAACATAAAGTAAAGGAAAATGGCTGCATCTCCATATGTTGTCAAAGCAAGAACATCCGATGTTAGCAGCGTTGACAGCATATTTTTCTCTTGTGACTCAACAGGTTTTCCACAGTTACAGTGGACAACCTGTGGATGTGGCCCACGACTTTTCTCTGCATACTGCTGCGGTCATCTTTACCCTGATATTTGGGGCGGTGGTGAGTCTTCCGACCTGCTGTGTAATTGCTCTGCTTTCCAGTGGATTGTCTTCTCCAAGCTACCTCTGTCTTTTTGTCTATCATAGGACATTTCCACCATCAAAGGGATGCATAGCTGCATGATCGAACTGGTTGAAAATTGGAGCGCTGCTTCTGTCCAAATTCTTGATTTTCTTCCCATCTTCAGGGTGAGACCTGCTTAGAGGGCTTTTTTTTTGGGGGGGGGGGTGTGCCTTCAGGTCAGTCTTGACTCCTGGCAATTGCTCTGGACCAGCCCAAGTAGTTTTCTTGGCAAGATTTTTTGGAAGTGGCATGCCATTGCCTTCTTCCTAGGGCTGAGAGAAAGGGACTGGCCCAAGGTCACCCAACTGTGCCTAAGGCAGGACTAGAACACAGGGTCTGCTAGTTTCTAGCCTAATGCCTTAACCACTACACCTTACTGCTTCTTAGGCATTGCACTGTACACTACTTTGACCAGCTCTGCAAAACAGGTCCAGGTTCTCACGCTTTGGGATAATCCATTTTCATCTCAATGAAGGAGTCTGCCTTTTGAAAAAAAAGCAGATTACTTGGAAAAGGTGCTGCCAAACACCTACTGATTTTTTGCCTCCATAGGTGCTCTCCTTCTATAATGTAGTATATACAGATAGTCGTTGACTTACAACCATTCTGTCATGGTTCCGACAGATGAAATTCTTCAAAGAACTTTGAGGCATTGTTTACCTTAAAGCAGTGGTGGCAAACCTATGGCATGGGTGCCACAGGCGGCACTCAGAGCCCTCTCTGTTGGCACGCGTACTGCCACCCCTGCCAGCAGCAGGTCCATCAGGCCACCGCCGCCGCCCGGAGCAGGACCCGTGCCCAGCACAAAGGAGGCGAAGCGGCCGACTAGCAAGCTCGAATAGAGGTGGTAGAGCAGAGGTCACCGACCATTGTCAATTGGTGGACTGGAAGAAAAGGGAGGGGGAAACATTTTACACACGTGCATGCACGCACAGGGCCACGAGCACGCACATGTTGCAAATGGGCCAGGGTTAGTGCCTGCGTGATCCTCACTAGCCCTGCCCCGTTTTTGCATGGTGCAGCGCCTTGTACCTGCACACTGCGGTGCAGCAGCAGCTGTTTTTGCGCCTTGCAGCACGGTGGCCCATTTTTGCGCCCCTGGTTTTTGCGTGCCAGAGGCGGCACTCGGAGGCACCTCCCTGCCAGACAGATAGGAAGATCACAGTTTTTTTTTTCATATTTGCAAGTAATAATCTTGGTCTAATCCGCTCCCTCTCCCTCCCTTCCCCTCTCCCCTCTCCTCTTCTCCCCTCTCCCCTCTCCCCTCTCCTCTCCCCTCTCCTCTCTCCTCTCTCCTTTCCTCCTTTCCTCTCTCTGCCCTGCCCTCCCCTCTCCTCCCCTCTCTTCCTCTCCATCCCCTCTTCTCTCCTCTCTTCTCTTCTCCTCTCCTCTCCTTTCCTCCCTTCCCTTCCGTTCCCTTCCTCTCCCTCTCCCTCTCCTCTCCTCTCCTCCCTTCCTCTCCCTCCCCTTCCCTCTCCTCTCCTCTCCTCTCCCTCCCCTTCTGTCTCCTCTCTCCTCTCCTCTCTTCTCTTCCCTCTTTTACTACTTTTGAGTGTCGAGGGAGATATAACATTCCCAAAATGTGAAAGGGTAATAGTCAATTTATCCAACACATCCAAAGAAGAGAAGGCAGGAAGAGGTATGAGAGTCCTGGGTGTTTGTGCTGAAACCAACTTCATTCAGATCCTCTGCTGTGCCCTAGGTGTTTCCCAACCCTACTTTGCGGCATCTGCTTTCCTGTGTCAAAAACCGGGATGCCTTGATCCAGGGCCAGATGAATAAACACCAGGTGAGAATGTGGAGAATGGCTACGACATTTAGGCTATACAGGTAACCCTCGACTTACGACCATTCGTTTGGCAACTGTCCAAAGTAGCAATGGCATTTTAAAAAGTGACTTACAACCAGCCCTCATACTTACGACAGTTACAGGCTCCCCACAGTCACACAACCGTGATTCAGGTGCTGTTGGCAACAGTCACACATTTACGGTGCTTGCAGCATCCGGTAGTCACGGGATCCCCATTTGTGATCTTCCCAGATGGAAAGCAAAATCAATGGGGAAGCCAGCAGGAAGTCGCAAATTGCAGTCACGTAACGTCTCACTTAACAACAGTGCTGATTCGTTTAATGAACGTGGCAGGAAAGGCTGTAAAATTGTGTGCGGTCACTTAACGACCGCCCTGCGTCATGACAAATCTTCTGTTCCCTTGTGCGATTGTAAGTTGAGGACTACCTGTATAAGGTTACCGTTTTTTTTAATGGAGACTCACAGACAAGAGGACGATATGAGAAGAAGGATTGACTAATTTAGGAGCAGGAATGAGGAGAGGATCTTCCAGCTCTACCACCAGGCTAAAATGGGCCAGTGTTTATCACAGGGGTGGGGGAGCCATATCTCGTCAAAAGCTACGGGAGAGGAATTTCTATCAACGGGGCCAACGACAAGGAATTATTGGGACTGGGCCCTGAGCAGTTGATTGTTTACTGATGGGATGAATAGATGGATGAAATCAGCTTGTCTTGCTGCACGCCCTCCTCTCTTTCTTAGGAGTTGAGTAGCCCTTCAGAGGTCCAGGACATGTTGGATGACATGCTGCACTTTCTGCGTGACCACGGCCCTGAAAAATGGGGGGAGACCGGTCTCTTATTGGATCACGTCCACATGGCCATTGTTGACCTGCTTATTGGAGGCACGGAGACCACAGCAACCCTGCTCATCTGGGCTATTGCCTTCCTGGTACATCATCCTGAGGTAGGATGAACGGTTTGCTGGTGCGGAGAAGCCTGGTCCTCTAAATCAAAGCAGGTTCCCTCTTTTGGGGCTACATTTTTGCTTTCAGTTGAAGATCTAAGAGCGCAGTGGTGCAGCGATTAGAATGCAGTATTGCAGGCTGTCTCTGCTCACTGTCAGGAGTTCGATCCTGACCGGCTCAAGGCGATTCACCCTTCCATCCTTCCGAGGTCAGTAAAATGAGGACTTAGATTGCTGGGGGCAATAGGCTGACTCTGTAAGCTACTTAGAGAGGGCTGTTAACGTACCGTGAAGCAGTACATAAGTCTTATTGCTCTCTCCTCCTGCTTCTAATCTCTCTTTCTTTCTCCATGCAGAGGTCATGGAAGAAGGCCAAAGTCATGTGCCTTGACCGGGGAAGCTGTGGCCTTCCAGTTGTTCGGCTACATCTCTCATTATTCCTCATCACTTGCCCGATAGTGGGGTAATTGGAGTTGGAGTCCTAGAAAAACAAAAAAAGGGCCACAGCTTGCCTGTACCTGAAAGGCAAACTTTGTTGAAGGTACAGGTAGTCCTCACTTAAAGATCAAAATTGGGATCAGCAGATCTGTCACTAAGCAATGAAATCATTAAGCGAGACATCATGTGACTGTCTCATTTAGCAATGGCAGTTCTGAAAGCCTTGGTTGTGGTCATTAATCAAATCTCACTTGGTCATTAGGGGAGGACCCACCCAGATCTATGCCAGTCCTGGCTTGGTCCCTCCCAGCCCTGGCCTCACTTCCTCCAAGGCAAAGGACTGCCTTCCCTTCAACTTCCCCACCCACCTTTTCCCTCCCATCTCTGCTCTTTCGGCTGGCCTCCACAGTGACACTCCTCGGTGGTGGCAACACTGGGTGTCAAGTCTTCCCAGATAGACTAGAAAGGAAAAATGACCAGATGAGCTATTTCTACTTCATTGTAAGGCTTTACTTTATTGTAACAGAATCTCACAAGTCTGAAATACAAATCTCCCACTATTTCCTTTACACCCTGAGAAGTTAAGGATGAACCCTTCTGAGCCACTTTCGTACCCTTTATTGTGATGACCCAGGGCACAGCACAGAGGCAATGCAGTCAGTTGGCAATTCAAACCACCCTTTAATTACTCCAAATTTTCCTAAATGCGACCACGTTTCTGGCAAGCCTCCAAACAAGGGAAGACACACACACCTCTGGCTGCAAGTAGTTTCACACACAGTCTGATTAGGAGAGGAGTTTACTCAAGGCCACGGAGATAAGAAAGAATGACACATACATCACAAACCTAACGAGTCTGTGTCAATACACGCTTGCCTGAAAAGTTTCAAAAGGGAAGCCAAAATACAGTCCGAGATTTATAAACATCCAAGCAACGTTGTCAGCCAGTCCAAGGGTCAGAGTTTCCGGGTTTCCAAGCAGAAGTCACAGAACAAGAGATCAGCAACAACACACACAAAACTCCAAGGAATCAGCGTTTGTTCCCGACAAAAGCCTCTCCCCACAGCGTCCCCTTAAATTTCATTCTCCAGGTGTGCCTCGTGGAGAGGGGTAGGATGCTCTCCTCCCGGGTAGTTGAGCCTGCCTGCGTTGTTCCCTCCTTCTCTCCACTCTCCGTGCTCTAGGATCAAGTGGGGGTGGCCCTTGCTCATTGCCTGAACTCTGTCTCTCCCTTTCATCCTGTCCCATCCTAAAAGGCCCTGGCCTGCCTCTGCCTGCTCTTCCCCACATTCCTCTGAAGCCACAGACACCTCTCCCTCGATCTCCACAGGGTCCCATTCCAGCTCATTTTCCTCCGCAGATTCAGGCTCCGAAGGAGGCACGACACTTTATGCAGACTATGCCCTCTTTTATCTGACCATTCCCTAGGCAGTATTTCTTTGCCCTGGCTCTCAAGGTCTTCCTCAATTGTGGTCATAAGTCCAGGACTATCTGTCAGCAGCCCACTTCTATTTTGGCCTTGGTGCCACTTCCTGCTAGGAGGGGGACGCCATTCCAACTCCTGCTCCACAAAGCCCCATCTGCCCTCAGTGGGCCTTTTCTGTCTTCTTCCCACTGCTGATAAGAAGTACCCAGATTGGCCTTTTTTTGTGACAGTTGCTGTCTCGGGAAGGCCTTTGTGTGTGTGTGTGTGTGCATGACCAACAACTACCTTGAGAAAGATCAGGTCAGATGTGCCTTGTCAGCAGTGGGAGGGAGAAGATAGCCATAGCCAAATCACTTAGAGTCACATACAGCTCCATAGTGTTTTACATCACTCTCTAGGCCAGGGGTAGGCAACTTCAGCTCTTTTATAACTTGTGGACTTCAACTCCCAGAATTCCTGAGCCACCTATGCTGGGATTTGAAGTTTTGATTTGGAGTTGAAGTCCACGAGTCATACAAGAGCCAAGATTGCCTACCCCTGCTAGGCGGTTTACAATGTCAGCATATTTGCCCCCAAACAGTCTGGATCCTCATTTTTACCAACCTCGGAAGGATGGAAGGCCGAGTCAACCTTGAGCCCTGTCAAGATCGAACTCCAGGCTGAGGGCAGAGTTAGCCTGCAATGCTCAACGTTAACCACTCCACCACCAGATGGTGATGGTCTGATGGGGAGGCAGGGGTGGTGAGCACAGGGTGGCAAGGAGATGGGTGATGGAGGGCAGATGGCCAAAAGGGCAGAATTGGGTGATGAGGTGAGCCAGTTGGAGGGAGGGGAGAGCTGAAGCACCCACTGCTTTTGTAAACATGGATGAGCTGCCCAGGCCCTGAACTCTGATCCTGTGACCACGGGGGGGGGGGCGTTGCAAAGGTTGTAACTTCAGCACTGTCATCGCTCTTCTTTCTTCCTCTCCTGTTCCTTCTTTTTTCTCTGCCACTCCAGATTCAGGAGCAGATCCACCAAGAGCTAACCACTGTCATCGGATCCCACCGTGATCCGACCTATAGCGATCAGGAGCAGCTGCCTTACCTCCGAGCCACCATCTGGGAGACCATGCGCCTGCGCCCATCAGCACCCCTGGCTCTGCCCCACATGACCATCCGTAACACCAGGTAGCAGGGTTCAAGAAGCCCCACCCCCAAAATCTCTGCTTGAGAAAGGGGATTCCTGCTCCCCTCCCCCTGCCTTCTGGCCCCTCCATGACCCTGCTTGGCATCAAACAGTCAAAGGCAGGGGTAGGCAACCTTGGCTCTTTTATGACTCGTGGACTTCAACTCCCAGAATTCCTGAACCAGCCATGCTGAGGGGAAAGGCAGAGGTTTCCATACTGAGCCATGCTGGCTCAGGAATTCTGGGAATTGAAGTCCACGAGTCATAAAAGAGCCAAGGTTGTCTACCCCTGGTCAAAGGCATCAGACTTGTGGCATCAAGTTCTCGTTTGGCTTAAAAACCCTGAATGCCCTTAGCCAGAATGTGGGGAAAGACACAAAGTGTGGACGAAGCAGGTCTAAGCGCAGCTCAGAGACTTCCAAAAAACCATTGTTATTTAGTTACAGGTAGTTCTTGATTTACAACTATTCATTTAGTAACCATTTGAAATTACAACAGTACAGAAAAAAACAGTGCTGAAAAAATAGGACTTATGACTGGTACATACAACCGTTGCTAAGTACCTGAATTTGGATCCTGTGACCTGGTGTGTCATCATCATGACCTGTGTGAGTACTGGTCATGATGATGGTGATGGTGATGGTGGTGATGGTGATGGTGATGACGATAGTGGTGATGATGGTGGTGGCGATGATAATGATGGTGAGGGTGAGGATGATGATGGTGATGGTGATGATGGTGGGGGTGGTGATGGTGATGACGATAGTGGTGATGATGATGGTGGCGATGATAATGATGGTGAGGGTGAGGGTGATGATGGTGATGGCGGTGGTGGTGATGGTGAAGGTGGTGGCGATGGTGATGGTGATGGTGATGGTGATGACAATAGTGGTGATGATGGTGGCGATGATAATGGTGAGGGTGAGGATGATGATGGTGATGGTGGTGGTGGTGATGATGGTGATGGTGATGACAATAGTGATGACGGTGGGTGATGATGATAGTGAGGGTGAGGATGATGGTGATGGTGGTGGTGATGGTGATGGTGATGACAATAGTGGTGATGATGATGGTGGCGATGATAATGATGGTGAGGGTGAGGGTGATAATGGTGATGGTGATGGTGATGACAATAGTGGTGATGATGATGGTTGCAATGATAATGATGGTGGTGATGGTGATGGTGACGAGGGTGATGATGATATATATTCAGTCATGTCTGACTCTTGGCGATTTCTATGGGCCAGGTTTCTCCACATCTTCCAATCTTGCACTACTTCTCTGAGTTTTTCCATGCTCCGGCTGGTGTCAGCTTTGATGGTGTCCAGCCACTGTGTTCTTTGAGTCTATGACAATTCACCGCTGCCAACTCGCTGCAGCTAACTTCCTGCGGCCAACTCGCTGTGGGACAAGAGTTACACTAATACCAAAGAAATGTTGGAATAGAATCATTACAGAAGGGATGCAAAAGAGAATGAAATGTGAATGGCAAAAATTAAAGTAACTTTTTATTTATTTTAAATAAATAGAATTGTTAAATTGTCCCACAGCAAGTTGTCACGTGGCAAGTTGGCCATGGTGAATTGTCCTGCGATGACGGTTGTGGTGAGTTGGCCACAGCGAGTTATCCCATTCCCGTATTCCTTGGCGGCCTTGTTTCCTTTTACCGCTTCCCAACATAATTGCTTTTTCTAATGAATTCCCCCGCATGACATAAGACAAGATAATCTTTACTGTCATTTCTTACTGTGGGCACACTGGCATACATTAAAAATGAAATTCTGTTGCTTTCTCTCAAAGGCGTACACACACACAACACATATATAAACATGCTATATACAACATATGTATATACCTACACCCTTACATATAAATACCTATAAATATTAATCACTGTCCATCTTGAATACATAGCACAGTGGTTCTCAACCTGTGGGTCGGGACCCCATTTGGGGTCGATCGACCATTTCATGGGGGTCGCCAAGCAAGGCTGTGCGCCATTTTTTTTGTCCGCCATTTTTTTCCCCTTTTCTGGCGGGTGCCTTACCTCCCTTGAGCTGGGCCAGCTGGTGGTCGGCCTGCTCGGTCTCTGCTGCTTGCCAGCTACGCCTCGGCCGGCGCAGGGGGCGGAACCACGCATGCGCGGCACTCCCGGGCAGGGAAAGTCCTCGACTTACGACCGGTTGGGTAGTCCTCAACTTACGACCGGTTTAGTCCTCGACTTACGACCGGTTTAGTCCTTGACTTATGACTTACGACCGGTTTAGTCCTCGACGTACGACCGGTTGGGGTCGCGGCATTAAAAAGGTTGAGAACCACTGTAGCAGAAGGAGGAAAGTAAGTAAGTGAGGAAAGTAAGTGGGCAAAGTAACTTGAGACGCCGTTTCGTGATTTGGTCTTCTAATGAAAAGTCTGGTGTTATGTGCTCCGGGACATACTTGTTAGCCACCTTTGTTATCTTTCAGTGCTGTTGTAACTTCAAATGGTTGCCAAATGAATGATCCATTGTTTTTATTTTTTTTAGGGATTTTCCTCACCTGAGATCCTTTCACATGATGCGAGGAAAAGAGAGTCTTTAACAATAGATTAGATAGAAATGAAGAAGGGAGATGGGGCCACTTTCTTCTGATGTAGCTTGGGGAAGAAGCTGGCGTCGGGAGGCATCAGAAATTGAGAACCCCCCCTGATAGGCAGGTTAATAATTAGGTGACAAAATCGGCTAGGCCTCTCTGTGACACCCCGGAGCCTTTTTTGTTTCCCATGGTTTCTACTCAGGTGTGTGGTAGCATCCTCAGTGAATTCATCTGCATCATGACTCCATTTGTGAGGTGTTATGAAACTGATAATTTTATTTAAAAAAAAAAATAATGTAGATTTTTTTTTAAACCCACCTTTATTATTTTTAGAAATAACTCAAGGTGGTGAACGTATCTAATATTTCTTTCTCCTCCTACTTTCCCCACAGGGACAACCCTGTGGGCTGTGAGAGACTGATTGGCTCAAAATCACCCAGCCATCTTTCATGCCTCAGACGGGGACTAGAACTCACCATCTCCTGGTGATTGGCCCAAAGTCATCCAGTCAACTTTCATGCATCAGGGAGGACTAGAACTCATAATGTACTGGTAACCGAGCTAGTTTTGATACCTAAGGCGGGACTAGAACTCAACAGTCTCCGGGTTTCTAGTCTGGTGCCTTATCTGTCTAGACCAGGGGTAGGCAACCTTGGCTCTTTTATGACTCGTGGATTTCAACTCCCAGAATTCCTGAGCCAGCATGGCTCAGCTTGGAAACCTGTCCCTTTCCCCTCAGCGTGGCTGGCTCAGGAATTCTGGGAGTTGAAGTCCACGAGTCATAAAAGAGCCAAGGTTGCCTACCCCTGTGCTAGACCAAACAGGGTCTCTGATGATGTTCTTCTTGGATGCCCATAAGACCCAGTCTCAGGGTAAGCAAGGAGAGCAAACTACATTGTTGAAGCCTTGTTGATATAATGTCTCCTTTTTTTGTCTCCGTTTCCTGTCCTCTACCAAGTCTGTCTGGTTTCTGCATCCCGAAGGGCACAACGGTCATTCCCAACCTCTATGGGGCCCATCATGATGAGACCAAGTGGGACCATCCTCTGGAGTTTAGGCCAGGTACTCCTCTTTGCCATTGTTGAGAGAGAGAGAGAGAGCAACTGAGTTCCTGTCTCACACTAAGTCACGATAAGGTTTGCTTGGTTTGGGCTTAGTGCAGTATTTCTCAACCTTGGCAACTTTAAGACGGGTGGACTTCAACTCCCAGAAGTCCACAGCCAGTATTGTTGAAGACCACCTGTTTTAAAGTTGCCAAGGTTGAGAAACATTGGCTTAGATCAGACATGTCAAACACAAGGCCCGGGGGCCAGATGCGGCCCGCAATGTGGTTTCATGTGGCCCGCGAAGCCATCCTGGAAAAAGTGAGGGAATGGCCCCTGCTGCCTTGGCCCTAGCCCAGGCCGCCTGGGAGCCAATGTACAATTTTGTGGTGGCCATCTATACTGAAATGCATTCAATCTTAGCTCCACAAGGCCGTCTGGAAATAGCAAGGGACCGGCCCCTGCCGCGTTGGCCCCGGGCACGCACTGGGGAGGTATCATCCTTTGTGAGGAATGCCTTGGCGCTTGCCCTGGTCCCCTTTCTGCCAGAGACCCTCAGATCTGTCCCACTCCTGCTCAGGCCCCCACAGACAACCTTGATGCAAACGATGTAGAGCTGGCCACGCCCACCCAATAGGCCACACCCACCCTGGCCACACCTACCCGGTGAGGAATTCTGGGAGCTGAAGTCCACAAGTCTTAAAGTTAATCTATATAAATAAAAATGTAAATGTTCGTTTGTTCAAAATCTTAAATCTCTGAAAGTTCTTCACCGATTGAAATTTTGACACAATGTTGCATTCGAATACGCGCGTGTTTTTATATACCTATATTATATAGATGTCACACCTGTGACAGGTAAAACATGCTTTTTTTGAAAAACAGCGCCATCTGTTGGACGTAAAAGCAACACAAATGTGCGCTTTCTCTTTTCTTTCTTTTCCATTTAACCACACTGAGCCACAGCAACGCGTGGCCGGGTACAGCTAGTAATAATAATAATAATGTTGGAAGGTACCTTGGAGGTCATCTAGTCCAACCCCCTGCTCAGGCAGGAAACCCTATACCATTTCAGACAAATGGCTGTCCAGTCCCTTCTTAAAAACTTACAGGGTTGGAGCATTTACCGCTTCTGCAGGCAGGTTGTTCCACTGGTTAATTGTTCTAACTGTCAGGAAGTTTCTCCTTAGTTCTAGGTTGCTTTTCTCCTTGCTTAGTTTCCATCCGTTGCTTCTTGTCCTGCCTTCAGGCGCTTTGGAAAATAGCTTGACTCCCTCTTCTTTGTGGCAGCCCCTGAGATATTGGAACACTGCTATCATGTCCCCCCTCGTCCTTCTCTTCATTAGACTAGACATACCCAATTCCAGCAACCGTTCCCTATATGTTTTACCCTCCACTCCTCTAATCCTCTTTGTTGCTCTTCTCTGTACTCTTTCTAGACTCTCAACGTCTTTTTTATATCGTGTGACCAAAACTGGATGCAGTATTCCAAGTGTGGCCTTACCAAGGCATTGTAAAGTGGTATTAACACTTCACATGATCTTGATTCTATCCCTCTGTTAATACAGCCTAGCACTGTGTTGGCTTTTTTGGCAGCTGCAGCACACTGCTGGCTCATATTTAAGCGATTGTCCCCAAGGACTCCAAGATCCCTCTGACAGTTACTACTGTTGTCAAGGTTGAAGACCCCTGACCTAGTGAGATAAAAAAATGGGGCGGTACTGTGGCTCAGTGGTTAAGACAATGGGCTTGTTGTCTGGAAAGCTGGCAGCCCAGGTTCGAGACCCAAGCGCCACATGACAGGTTGAGCTCCCGTCCTCACCTCAGCTCCTGCCAATCTAGCAATTTGGAAGCATGCAAGTGCAAGTAGACAAACAGGTACCACTTCAGTAAGAAGGTAACAGTACTCTATGACATCCTGACCTCATGCTGGCCATATGAACATGGAAACGTCTGTGGACAGCCCTGGCTGAATGGCCTTGAAACAGACCCCTCCCTATAGACAGCAACAGCTAACAGAGTAAAATCCACAGGGACTCCTTGACCCAGCGAAGCTACGGGAATGAAGTCCCAAGTGGCACGAAGCTAGGATTTTATATTAATCTGTTGATTTCAGCTAAGCATTTCTGAATGGAAAGTGTGGCTTATTTGTGGCGTATTTATTTATTTATTTATTTATTTTGCCCCATCCAAGCCTCTAACCCAGTGTTTTCCAATTATAAAAACTTTGAAGATATGGGGTTTCTTTCCTCCCTAGTTTTATTTAATTTTATATTATTTATTTGTTCATTCGTTCATTCGTTCGTTCGTTCATTCGTTCGTTCATTCATTCATTTATTCTAGTTTAATGAAGAGAAGGATGAGGGGGGACATGATAGCAGTGTTCCAATATCTCAGGGGCTGCCACAAAGAAGAGGGAGTCAAGCTATTCTCCAAGGCGCCTGAAGGCAGGACGAGAAGCAACAGATGGAAACTGATCAAGGAGAGAAGCAACCTAGAACTAAGGAGAAACTTCCTGACAGTTAGAACAATTAACCAGTGGAACAACCTGCCTCCAGAAGTGGTGAATGCTCCAACACTGGGAGTTTTCAAGAAGAGACTGGACAGCCATTTGTCTGAAATGGTATAGGGTTTCCTGCATAAGCAGGGGGTTGGACTAGATGACCTCCAAGGTCCCTTCCAACTTTACTATTAATTATTTATTTATTTATTTATTTATTTATTTATTTATTTATTTATTTATCTATCCCTGCCTTATTATTTTTATACATAACTAAAGGTAGCAAACACATTCACCATTCCTTCCTTCCTCCTCTTATTTTCCCCACAACAAGGACCCTGTAAAGTGGGGTTGGCCTTAGAGAGAAGGATGAGCTTAAAGTTGGTTTTCATACCTAAAAGCTGGATTAGAACTTCCAATCTCCTGCTTTCCAGTCTGGTGCCCTCACAACGAGACTAAACTGGCTATCCTTGTTAATCTGACTGGTCTCTTTTCTTCTACCCAGAGAGGTTCCTGGAGGGCGAAGCCTCTGCTGAGGCCCGACGGAATCTGGTGCCATTCAGCTGTGGGGCACGGGTATGCCTGGGGGAAGGCTTAGCCCGCATGGAGTCGTTCCTCTTCCTTGCTTACCTCCTGCGAGATTTCCAACTCTCGCCCGTGTCAGCCGGATGCCTTCCTGACCTCAAGGGATCTTTCCGATTTCTTATTCATTGCAAGCCCTTCCTGGTGCGGCTGGTGCCCCGGGTGAGGACCCCGAAGCCCGAAAAATGAGGCCTTTGCTGGGCAGGAAACAAAAACCATTCGCCTGCTTTTCTTAGTATGATCTTGCTAACGCTCCCTGTCATGTTATGGAGCTCTGTTTCCTCCCCCCCCCTTGTGATGAGTTTGCGAGTAACTAAAGTTCAAAAATCTGTGGGCAATCCTTTTTCCTTGGCAGGTTTGAACCAGTTCTTATCAGACTCTACACCAGCGGTTCTCAACCTATGGGTCACGACCCCATTTGGGGTCGATCGACCATTTCACGGGGGTTGCCAAGCAAGGCTGTCCGCCATTTTTTCCCCCTTTTCCGGCGGGTGCCTTACCTCCCTTGGACTAGGCCAGCTGGTGGTCGGCCTGCTCTGTCTCTGCCGCTTGCCAGCTACGTCTCGGCCGGCGCAGGGGGCAGAACCACGGATGCGCGGCGCTCCCGGGCAGGGAAAGTCCTCGACTTACGACCGGTTGGGTAGTCCTCGACTTACGCCTGGTTTAGTCCTCGACTTACGACCGGTTTAGTCCTCGACTTACGACCAGTTTAGTCCTCGACTTACGACCGGTTTAGTCCTCGACTTACAACCGGTTGGGGGTCGCGGCATTAAAAAGGTTGAGAACCACTGCTCTACACAGTCCTCCTGGAGAACTCGCTTTGTTACTTCGAAGAACTAGAAAGATTGATCAAAGAAACTCCTGGCTGCTGAAAACATTACTCAAAGAGCAGTGGTGGGATTCAAATATGTGAACAACCGGTTCTCTGTGTGGATGCCGCTTCCGGAAGTCCATTTTGGGCCTGGGCAACAAAAAATTAGTTACCGGTTCTGCCGAAGTGGTACGAACTGGCTGAATCCCACCACTGCCAAAGAGTTACCCCTCGGCTACTGCCATCAAGATCCTTACTCCCATTTCCCTTGGCAGCCCTCGACTTTCGCCGATGTAACCAAGTTGTCAACGCTGTTAACATCGGATGTTTTTGCTTTGGCAACAGTTGGAGATGCAACCATTTTCTTCTTATGTTTTACTTTTAGAGTTAGAGTTAGATGATGCTGGGGGGAGGAATGTGCATGAGAGTTTAGCTAGACATAAGGATACTGGATCTAGTGTGTGGATCAAGGTTATTGAAATAAGAGATGATAAGAATTGGCGGGCTGGAGAACTGGAGGGAAAGCCTGCATTTCAAACTAATTGGAGAATGTGATTTATGACTGTTAATTGGAGGAGGGAATTGTGCTTTGATACTATGTGTCCAGGGGAGGGGAATCTAGGTTCTGGCTCTGATTATGTTAGTGCCGATGCTATGCTTCTCAAATAAAGATTCTTTAAGGTAAACAATGCCTCAAAGTTATTGTTACTATTGCTTGATATGTTTGATTTTAGACTGCTCATACTTTTTAGGTCATCCAGAGTTGATTGAAAATTAAGATGGTAAGTAAATAAAATAAATTGAAAACAATCCCAAGAGGAGCAAGAGATGCTTCTGAACGCCCACTTGATACCCACTTGATTTTTTTTAATGCTCACTGCTCAGTCTGGTACAAAGTCCTTGTGAAGGACCACAGAGTTGGAAGCACATTGGAGGTCTTCTACTACTCTTCTACTACTCTTCTACTACTCTTCTACATTTAGGAAAGAAAAACCAAATGTACAGGTATAGTATAGGGGGTACCTTGCTCAATAGTAGTAACTGTGAGAGGGATCTCGGAGTCTAGTGGACAATCACTTAAATATGAGCCAGCAGTGTGCTGCAGCTGCCAAAAAAGCCAACACAGTGCTAGGCTGCATTAACAGAGGGATAGAATCAAGATCACATGAACTATTAATACCACTCTACAATGCCTTGGTAAGGCCACACTTGGAATACTGCATCCAGTTTTGGTCACCACGATGTAAAAAAGATGTTGAGACTCTAGAAAGAGTACAGAGAAGAGCAACAAAGATGATTAGGGGACTGGAGGCTAAAATATATGAGGAACGGTTGCTGGAATTGGTATGTCTAGTTTAATGAAGAGAAGGATGATGGGGGACATGATAGCAGTGTTCCAGTATCTCAGGGGCTGCCACAGAGAAGAGGGAGTCAAGCTATTCTCCAAAGTGCCTGAAGGCAGGACAAGAAGCAATGGATGGTGTTAGATCGCGCAGGCAGTAAGACACGAGTCGAGTGACCGTCAGCTCTTGGTTTATTGGCAAGGCATAAAGTAAATCCGGACTGGCTCTCTGGGCCAGGGGAGCCCTCTTTTATGGGATTCCCCTGGCTTGTAATCACACAATTCCATTGGCTGGCAAGACCCTGTTGCTAGTTAGCCAACCAGCAACGGGCATGAA